GATGGTGTCTCCCCTCGAGCTGCTCCTTTGCCACCCTTCTGTTCTTTCTGAGAGCTGGGCTGAGACATAGAAGACGGCTGCTTTGCTCCAGGCTTCCCAGCCGTACACTCACGCTGCCTGTGGCTTTCTGACCCGCATTTCAGACATTTTTTGGATCTCAGGTCCTTGTCCATTCCAGACATACTGCGCGAGAAGGAGCATCGCTCCCCTCGTCGGCAACCCGACGGCTTTGCGAAATACCGACAGAGGTCTGGTGCCGACGCCTTAGGCCCAGCATCCCGAGCCTTTGGCGAAGCCTCCGGCGCCTCCACCGCCTTCATCTTCGGTCCTTTGGCTGTTGCTTGGGCTGCCAAAAGAACCTCCAGCTCAGCTTGCAAATGACGCTGGTACGCCTGAACATTCTCCAGAGTAGGACGCGAGTCCAGTCGCAGACTTGTCCTCAGCATCGACGTTCTGAAACTCGCGTCTGTAGAACCTCCAATATGGCGCTCTGTCAAAACTGATAGCCCGCGTGCAAGAACTGATGCATCTGGTGGTACCATGTGAACATGACTGTTTTCAGTGCTTGCTCCAAGGACTCGCCCGCTGCATAGTCAAGGGGATTCTGTAAACGCTTCAGTACATCTGTACGCTCTGCACTGCCACCAGGTTGATAGTATGTAAATACTCTGAACATCATCTTTACACAGCTCTGAGTGCAACGTCTAGCAACCATATCACCACGCAGATCCCCTCCCATTGCAGTCAGTAGCATTGATGCCGCTCTCGCATTCACTCTCACCCATCGACCTGACGCCAGAGATTCCGTCTCACTAGGCTCTATGGACAAGCGTTCAAGTGGTGAAGACATAAGCCATCTATCATAGGTATCTTCCACCACCTTCATCACCTCCCTCCACCAAACAGAACTGGTTTCGCTGATGTCCGCCATTACCGAAGTAGAAATCTCCAGCCAGTCTTGAAACGTAAGGGCCGCTTCCCCCCCCTCAGAAGGCAACGGCATAGCCATGAGTGTCATTGTTCCTGGCTTCACGACTTCCGTAGTAGTGGTAGAGGTAGTCTTAGCCATGGCTTGCGCTTGTAACTGCTGCAATTGTTGTACACCACGTGGAGGAGGAGTCTGACTTCTCGACCTTGACTCCCACCACGACCGAATCAACCCAGGTCCCTCGGCAGCATTGGTTATCGTTGGTCCCTGAGGTCGAGCATCATCTGGCTGAACCCCAGTAACCCTTCCTTTGCTGTTCCCTGCTCCTTTGTACCCCTTTGAGCTTCCACATCAGGTAGTCCCGGTGGTCCTTGTCCTGATAGAACACCTTGCTGCTGTCCTTGATATAGAGGTTCTGGATCCCGTAGAGGTACAGGGGCATTCGGTAATAGTCCTGGACCCATGTGAGCACCTGCCAAGTTGCCAAGTAGAGGGGTAGGTTGTACCATTGTATGCTCTGTACTTGTAAATTTCCGTCTCTCATCACGCAACAATGCCTTTGTTTCCTCCAACTCTGCTTGTAGCTCATTATTGCGCTGAGCATAATCCTTCAATTGGCTCAACACCCCATGTAGCTGTCTTTGCACTTCTGCCTGTATTGCCTCTGCTGGAATGCTACTCGACAAGGGTGGAGTTGGAGCCGAGGATATAGCTCTGGCCTTGCCAGGGGATCGCAGCCTAAATGGCTGGCCACCAGGTGGCGACGCAAATGCAGGACTTGGAAAAGGGCTCGATGCTAGCTCCCCTTGGCCAGTCGATGAGCCCGGTTGCAACATACTTCCTAATCTACATCCACTTCGGAATTTCCACACCAGCTAACCACGACGGGTGAACAGTTCCACGCTGTCCCATCGAAGACCTTGGTGTAGAATAGCCCTCAGCTATATCTATAGGCTTTTGCACAGATGCACTTTGCTCAGCCGCAGATCTTCCGCCCATGTCCGGTATCGTCAGAGCCTCTTGTTGTAGCCCCGCCTGCACCAGCATAGATGCGGTCTCTGCCGACCCAGCTGCACCAGCACTGTCCTGCACTCCAGATTGAATCACCTCTCCAGGTCTCACGTCTGGACTCTGTCGTGGCCCTTCGCTGATAGGCCCCGCATCACCTTGATTGCAAGGCTCAACTGGATCGCCTGCTCTTTCACGCGCAGGCCCACTCGTCCCATTCGGCAGTTGCCCAGCGGCTTCCTGTGATTGGGCGCTCATAACCTAGAAAACTGCAGATCAGAGCTTGGCCTCTCCTGAATGCAGAAACAGTGTTACAGCTTATGCCAGTCCATGGCGCGCACA